CTCGTGCAGAAGACCCGAGCGGCAAGCGCGTGCTGAGCTCCACGTACTGTGGCAGCGCGGCGTACGCGTCTCCCGAAGTACTACAGGGCATTCCGTACAACCCCAAGATGTACGACGTGTGGTCTCTGGGCTGTATCCTCTTCATCATGGTGACCGGCACCATGCCTTTCGACGACACCAACATCAAGACTCAGATCCGGCTCCAGATGCACCGCGACGTGCGCTTCCCGTCCAACTACTCGATCAGCTCGTCCTGCAAGAGCCTCATCCGCCACATGCTCGAGCCGGATATCGTGAAGCGGGCCACGCTCAAGCAGGTGCTGCGTCATCCGTGGCTCGAGGAGGGCGTGGCGGTCGCCTCGTGAACCGGGGCGCGGGACGCCGGCCCCTCCGATCAGGCCTCGACTCCCTACGACCGGGTCTCGGCTCCCTCAGGCCGGGCATCGGCTTCCTCACCGCCGGAGCCCCCAGCTCGGCAGCAGCCGTCGGTCCGGGCGGCGCCGGAGGGCAGAGGCTACCTCGGCACGCTCTGCCGCCCAGAGCGAACCAAAATTCCCGTCGCCATCGCGGACGCCGACGAACACCATCAATAAAGCCCACACCACGTAGAGGCGCCCTTCGTTTTTAGAGAGTTTTGGGGCGCCGTCGCCTTGGTCCCCCGAGCAGCTGGGTGTACCCAAACCGTCGGGGCCCCTTATCTAAAACTACTTTTTATATGCTATATTGTTTTCCGGGCCAAACTATAGGGTCTGCTAAGTCGGCAGCGTGCTTGGCTCCCACGCAGCTGGCCAGGGTTCGGTCCCTGCCAACGCCCGTTTTTTTATATTTGATAATGTATAAAGCTCGGGTGTGTGTCTGTGCGTGAGCGCGCGTGCGTACGTGGGTGCGTGTGCGTATTTGCATGTGTGAGTGCGTGTGTGTATGCGTGCGTGTCTGGGCCTGTGTGCGCGCACCTGTAGATATATACATATATGCATAGCCTCCTCTATACTCCAAAGCCTGGCAGTTCGACCACGGAGCATAGAGTCCCCGGTCGCAGATTTACAGCGCGAGGATCTGGTAGCAGATGCAGAGCATCAAAAAGCTATTTGTCGGGGAACCTAGACGTCAGCGCACAGCTCTTGCAGCGGCGAGGACCCGAAACACACTTGTTCGCTCGGGAGAAGTGTGTTTCGGCGTCTCGCCGCAGCGGGTCGCCAGTCACGTGACTCTCCTCTCATCCGTTGTCTGCCGCTCCACCTTTTCCATTTCGGCGGCCGCTTCTCGTGGCGATATGCCAGGCTTTGGCAGTATAGACGATTGCAAGCTGGGCGACGGGCCGCCGCCATGTCTCTGCTCGAGCAGGCACGCCCGTGCGATTACGAGCTTGCCAAAGCTACGTTCACCCGCGCGTTGCACGCGCCTGCACGCATGGGGCACCACTTGTGGCGCCATGCTTGCAATTGTCTATATAGGAGGCTAGGATATATATCTCTGAGTGGCACGCACGCACGCGCCCGTTTCTGTTGACATTTGTGGAGTGAAGTTTGGATGGTTAAAATTTGTATTTACACAAAAAAAAAAAAAAAAGTCTCATGAAAAAAGTTTTGCAAAATACCTTTGTGCTTTAATCATTATTTAAAAAAAATATTCAATAGCATGTATTAAAAACTATCGCATTAAAAAAAAAGAGAATTAGCAGTGTATAAACGAGAAGACAAGAGTTCTCGCCGTTTTAATTTATGTTTCCTGCAACCTGAAAAAAAAAAAAACTTTTTCTGCGGAAATGCAAAAACACTTCGACAGAAACCAGCAGACGCGATCTGCAAACTACCAGAACAGCTGAGGCCAGTACAGAGGGTGTACCTATCCTTCGGGCACCTCCACAACACCGATAAAATGTTCTTAGCTCGCTACACGATTACATTCGGATAGCAGGGATCTCGAATAAAATGAGTCCCACCTCAATTCCCTTCCCCCCCCCCCCCCCCCCCCTTCCAGGTCAGATTATTAAAATCAAAACACGAGGTCGTAATAGGTTAATAAAAAAATACTATTTTACGACTACAAGTATTAGCGATGTGAGCGACCAAAAGCGTCGCTGCGGTCAGCTTTCGACGATTGACCAGACCATGGGCATATGAGCATTGTCAGATTGTCAACTTTGACGATGTTAATTCCGGTTGCGATGGTTCCTAGCTTCCACTGTGCTTTTTAAACACACCATGGAGCTCGTCGTAGCCAGGGTAACAACTGGTGACGTCACGGTAGGCACATCCCAGTCGTGACGTCACGGAGGGAAACCATTAGAGGGCGCCACCGAAATATCTCGGCGCTAATATGGTGTCCCCAAGGGACTGAATCACTGCATGACGAGCTGGACAAATCGGCGCCCCCGCATAAAAAAAAAACTCAAAGTTTCATTCAATAAGACCTTAGGGGTGCAAATTTCACCTCGTGAAATTTCGAGACGTAAGTCTTTTTTTTTTTTTTTTTTTGTCTGGAAAGCTTGTGAGATCAAGAAACTTGCCGGGGTCAGCAGTGGACGAGTTAGCAGACGACCGAGTTTTGTGTCATCTTCCGATAGACGCAGGGAGCAGACGACATTGTGTCTATCGTCGTCTGCAAATTAGATGCGAGTGTTCATGCAACGTGGTCGGTCTCCCAGAGCATGGCGACGCTGGATCGCGCTGAAGACGCGAAATTTAGCCAGCGCAGTATATGAATGCCAGCCTGGGATTTGTATAACGCGAGTCACCCAGTAGTGGTACGCGAGCACACGCCGGTACAACGCTCATCCAAATCAGAATTGGCAGGGGTAATGATGGAGCCTAATACCTCCTTAATTCCGCAGCTGCGGTACGATAACACACTCGAACACCGTAAGCGAACGCAATGCTGTAGCAGCAGATGAGATGCTCTCCACGCACAAACGTGTGGGTGCTGATTTGAACCGATTCCAAGCTTGAATACGTTTGATATCGTGAATCAGGTGAAAAGATTGATGTCTTCTACCTGGAGCAAATGCGTCAACAAAACGAAAAACACTTACGCAACCCGTAAGCTGAAACACAGTGACAGCTGAGGTGTGACTTCAGAGCCGCTAAGGTGCCATTCCGGAGCAGATAGACTCAACGAAAGGTGAAGCTGTGAGCGCACACCATACAGGATGTTTCACGAAAGGTGGGCAAATTCGATATTGCGAAAGCTACGCGCCACAACAAAAAAAGAAAAAAAAAGAAAAAAAAAAGAAAAGGCTTGTGTCGTTTTGGTCCTGGGCCAGAGGACTACTTAGGAAAATGATGAAAGTCCGGGATAATTAGATTGTTAATTATTTTCGCATATTTAACTTTCTTAATATTGTGCTTAGTTAAGGGCATGGTTTCAAGTAGAAAATTGCTCAGCATCATCGAAAAACACTAAATAAACAAATTGCAGAATGACAGAAGGCACGCACAGCATTTTACTGCTTTCTGAAAAACCGCGCGAATTCGGCGGGCTTTTGTTTGCAAACGGAGCGCATCTCGGCCCCGACGGCACCGCGCCCCGTGGAAAAATAGTGCAACCAGCCTCTTCTGCGTTGCGCGAAGACAGCGCAGTTTTGCCGGAATGCCAAAAATGGCCCGCGTCAATATGGAGCGCGGTCGACGGGGCGAATCCGCGAAGCATCAAACAAACAACTATTGCTGTAAAAAAAAAAAAAAGGCGTTCGGCACACATGTGTCATCCGCGAGAACAAAAGTTGCAGTTCACTGAAACGTCGCTTTCGCATTCTATCGTTGCCTCGTTGTTCTCAATAAAAAAAAAAAAGTAATGTATGCCTGAACGCACACGTATCAGCGCACATGCGGCATATCGTACACATAGACACACACACACAGGTCCCATAGAAACACGCACACGTCTCAGCACACAGATTAAACACAGACACACACAAAAAGGCACTCACGCGCACACACTCACTGACTCACCCGCACAAAAACACAAACACAACTCCTGCCGGTATATATGCGTTGCCTATAGGCTATAGGCAACGCATATATGTACACGCTTTACACGCGTGTCAGATTGCAGCCGTCATTGCGGACATTCTCTTGTCTTATCATACACCGACCGCCTTAAACGGGCGTTGGCGAACCTCCACAAAGGCTAATGACGGGGAGAAGGACACAGTAGAATCTAAAATGGCAATAACCTGCCCTGCTATGGTAATGATGAAGTGAAGTAAACGAAATAAACGGAAACAAAAATGACCGCATCTTCACGTGGTGAATAATGTTGATTGGGGCGAAGCTCTGGTGGTGCTTGTCTGCGTAAACGGTGAGCCGCGCAGCATGCCGAGCCTTTCGTTCGTTTTCATCCATGTCAGAAAGAGAATGTATGGTATGGAACATGGTTATATACGCATTTGGGAATTTGACCGCAGCGCCCTCTCGTCTATAAACGTTGAGCCAATGCATGCAAAGTTTAACGCGATTACATACGCATTTGACCGCAGCGCCCTCTCCTGTATAGACGTTGAGCGACTACATGCAACGTTTCATCCATGACATCCCCAGCTCTTTAGTTACTACCATATCTCAGAGGCCACTGCTCGTCCCGCAGTCGTGGCCGAGTGGTTAAGGCGATGGTCTAGAAATCCACTGGGGTCTCGCCGCACAGGTTCGAATCCTCTCGACTGCGCAAACATCGCTTTTTTTTCATCCTTTTTCTTTCTTTTTTTTTTTTTTTTTGCCCTACGCGAGCGCCTGAGCACGTGAGCTCAAGAGCACGATCACGAGCACGAGCGCCAGCAAGATCGATGCGAGACCGGGCGCTGGACGGACAAGGCTAGACCCTAAGGAGCTTCGCCCCTAAAACTGAAGGGCGATTATGGCAACGCCCATGCACAGCTGCTGCTCAGGAAATGCTCACGCTCTCTCACAGATGTGGTCGTCGCACTCGCTCCAGCCATCTCGAATAAAGCAAGGGCGCGCAGAACCCTCCCGCCGCTCTGAACCGATGCAGCGAAACCTGGAAGCATGAGCGTAGAAAACGACACGTCCGTCACCACGAACGGAGCTCTCGCCGATGCGACTGACGACGTCGTGGTGACGCTGGATGACATCGAGCGTCTCGCGGGCGCCAACCGACGCCCGGGCTTTTTGGACTACTACGACGGTGGTGCGGGCCAGAAGCAGACGCTTCTAGAGAACACGGCGGCGTTCGTGAGGTGCGTATGCCTCCGGGGAGAGCGCTGCTCTCTACGGAGGGTGCTCGCGAAGGACGGGGATGATTATATGTTCAGAGCGCCCCGAAAATGGCCCGCGCTATGGTACCGAGCGCGATTAAGCGACATGCCCAGTGTCATACGCTGTAAAAACAATCAGCTCCCTTTTACGGAGAAGTTTTCCGGCGAAAAGTGCTGCCAGAGAATTTATTCGTAATCCAATTTAGTGAGGTGAAATCATCCGTAACTTAATTTAGTGAGGGGTCCCCTAAAATATGGACACCTTTACGTTCTAACCTTTACAGAATTTTTTTGTGAAGGTTAGAACGGAATGTGCTCCTTAATTGGAGAATTTAGATCTTCCGTAAAAGTGTAACGGAAAGTGCTCCTTAATTAGTTGCAAGCACGGCTCTTGGGTGCCGCCATCTTGCTTGTTGGGGTGCGCTCTGAGGTGCACCATAGTCTGATTACGACGCCTTAGCAAGGCATTGTAATCAAGTTATGGTGCGTCCAATGTGCATCCCAGCAGGCAGGATGGCGGCGCCCAGGGGCCATACTTGCAAACGTGCATACGCAGAACCATCTGTAAGGAGGTGAACACAAATATGCCATTTGTAAAGAAGCATCAAGAACATTGTTATTTAAAAAAAATGTTTTTGAGCGTCTTGTGTTACTCACAGAAGGCAATATTTCACCCAAATAAGTGGTATGAAAATAAAAAAAAAAAATCTTAGTCACCTTGGAGTGCTTTATTCAGGGTCCTCGAAGGCTTCAGTCAAAATGGATACCCTATGCCGTTTTGCCACTGTTCTCACGTTCTGTGTCGGATTTCGTCCATCACGCCCAGCTAGACAAGAAAAAGAGGGGAGGAATAGGTGTAAATTGAAGTATAATAATAATAATAACTATTTCATTGATTATGATGGAGCCCCAACGAAGAAAGCTGCAGCGCCTGCATTGCACAGCTTGATTGGTCCTCCGGCCCCTTACATCGACAAGCAAGCAGAAAATAAAAAGAGCGCATATAGAGTAGGAGTAATGCACATCTAAGATTCATATGCATACAAACTAAGGTTCCCATACATACAAAGCATAAAGCCCACGCATCAGGCACATCCATACTCCCACAACCATAAAAAATTATTAGAAGAGTGGTTCGAAAACACTCATGGCTGGGGGCAACTCTTCTGGTCTGGTAAAAGTGACGGGAACCCCTCCATGACAAATAATGAGAAGGGTGGGGAGACTACAATGATAAATAAAAGAAAAACCCTACGATATTTGCTGGAGCTCAAAATATATGAGTAGGCCCCTAATTAAAATAACTGAGCACAAATGAAGCAGATGTTTCAATGTAGGCAGGCCCAGCCTTCAAAGAGAAAAATGTATTTCACTGAGCGCTCGCTGATTCTAGATACAATTCATTTATCGATCGTGCTAGTCAGATTAGCCTCTGAACTTCCAGAACCAACCACATGCCTCTCCAATCTGTGGTGCTTGCGATGAGACACTCACATCAAGCTTACTGTTTTGCATCAGTGCTGTGGCGCACAGCTTTCCCGCATTGCACCGGTGTTCACGGAGTAGCGGAGGCCAGGGGGAAGCGCGTCCTCGCAGTCAACTAGATGGAGTAAATTTTTTTTTTTCTCAGGATCATAGATAGACCCCTAACTTCAGAAACCAGTGCTAAGAAAATTAGACCTCTATCCGAACCAACCGTCTAATTCTATCATGAAATCGACTTGCTTTATAGTTCTGTGATACTAAGAAACATCGCACGAAGTGTGACATTTGTTTTGTCTATAAGAGCAAAAAGTTTCATTGCTTAGCTTGACTAACAATTAGGGAGTATGCAGACCCCCATTTGGGAACCACTGTACTAGAAGCCAAGCAATGACACCGTAAAAAACAACAAAAAAACTTCGGTGATGCCAACTTTTTTTCTGATCCAAAATATCACAAACTGCAGAATCCAACATCCTGAAAAATAATAAATGCATAAATTTAAATGCCAGTACGCCAATATAAACAAGTTATATCCATGTTACACAAACAGCCTTAACCTTCGTTAAGCTAACTATGGTTCGTGGCCTCTAAACTGAACCGAGATGCTATTACATGGCTCCCTAGCTCCAAGTTGACACGAAAACAAAACCAAGTGTGGGGTTAGGTAATCACTATGAATACTGAAGCTGATTAATTATCAGGGCATATTGTGTTGTTCATAGGCGTCTTCAACCGCTTTCAACTGATTTGAAATAAATATCTAACGTAGAAGCCTCACTGCCATCGGCAGCACTAATTCCCCAAAACAAAACAATAACAAAAGAAAAAAAAAATAGAATTCTCTTTGTTCCCAGACGTGCTGCGATTTCTATAAACGCAGCTTCAACCCCTAGGTATGGCTCCTCCAAGAATATCTGCTGCTACAATTGTTTGTGAAATTTCACAATTGTGAAAAACGGTGAGTACGTTGCCACAACTTGCGGATTTGGCGAAGTGGTGAACGGCGCCATATTGAACGCGGTTAGCAAGCCCGAAGCGAGCCCGCCAACCTCGGTCTGCTTTAGCCATGGCTATCGGGCTAACTACAGCTTGGTTTGCTGTGTGACTGAGGATAACTGCGGTTAAGCGTGACTGCGGTCGGCTTAAATGAGTTTAAGGCTGCCTGCGTAAGAAGGGTACTAGGGCTGCATAAATTGCAACTGACACTATAGTTATGTGAGACAGTCTTTCAGTACATGCATGGGTGCAAAAGACTGTCAGAGAGGAGATGATATGTGCACTGACAAGACCGAAAACACAAAAAATGAACCATCATGCAATTCCCTCTTCTCAGAACTCATGGTATGATCTACCAAGAATAAAGATATAAAAACAATGGCTTACAGACGATTTTTGAGATTCAGCATGGTGGTGTTTGCACAGAAGCAAAAGTTTAGGCCAGCTTGATTATGCTGACAAAGACTGGGAATGCACAGGATGTGCTGACTTTACTCAAACGCATGCTGTGCGTGCTCGGGGACAATAGGTAATGGTCACGTGACCATATGACCACCATTGGTCACTATTTTCCAGTCTTGGGTAGTAACGCGTTAATAGAAACGCGTTACTGTAATTAAGTTACTTTTTTGGTAACTTGTAACTGTAACGAGTTACTTTTTTAAAATGTAACTTGTAACTGTAGTTCTATTACTTTTTCTGAGGTAACGATGAAAGTAACGACGTTACTTTTGTCGTTACTTTCCGGTTTTTTTATGAATAATATATCACTGAACGAGTACGATTTAGACATTCTTTTTGCTTTCCAAATTGTCTGTTTCGACATTTCGAGTGTCAAGTTTTTTTACACAAACTTGTGAGTACGCTCTTTCTCGCCACTCACGACCCGAATATAGCCACGCTAGATTTGGTTAAAAAACAATGTAGTTATCTTTAGCACGCGCTTATACTTTGTGAGTGAACACTTACATCTTGGTATCTTGAAGAACTATCTCTTTTGCGGTTTTTCTTTTTTCTGCGCAAACGCTTTTTAATCGGGTGAATAAAACATGAACCTCCAATACACGCGGAGGGCAGTGCGAATGTTTCGTATTTTGATTAGCGCCACCACTCCGCACTGCGCATGTTTCGTATTTTGATTTGCGCCACTACTCCGGTGTAGTGTCAACAGTCGAGGCAAAATTTACTGCTGTTTGCGCGAAGTTTGTTTCTGGCTTGCCGGGTACGAACTGAAATATGTCCAGGGACTCTATGAACCCAGCGCAACCGTCAACGAGCCAGGAATGTGCTAGTGCTACCAAGGATATGAATGATGATAAGAACAAAGAAGAACTACCATGGCCGGCGTACAGAGAGTATTTTGCTGTGGTGGAGGTGGTTACTAACAACGTGACCGCAGAAAAAGGCACTTTGTTGCCTCAACACCTACTCGGCAATCAAAAACCTGTCCCGGCTAAACAACACAGCAGTCCCATGCAGCGCGTTAGACGAGCGCCTGTTCAGCAAGGGCAGGGACGTGTTCGTCATCAAACAAGGGAAACTTTCAGACACTAATTTCGAGAAGCAGCTGCTGCAAAGTTACAACATGAAGTAGAAAGCAGTTTTTAATTGCATGCAAATAAACTTGGTGAAAAGCGTTTTCTAGTTTTTCCTAATTTTTTGTGTTATAAAAAAGTAATTGAAAAGTAACGTCGTTACTTTTCAAAAGTAACTGTAACTGTAACGAGTTACTTTTTTGTTACGGTAACTGTAACGGTAACCACTACTTTTTTCAGAAAGTAACTGTAACTGTAACGAGTTACTTTTTAAAAGTAACTTACCCAAGACTGCTATTTCCTGTGTGATCACATGGTAGACTGGACCCCACTGACCATGATCACGTGAACACCAATGAATGACAGTCTCGGGCAAAGATGCGATTCTCTCCCGTTTTCCATACCCTTTCCTGGCTGGTGGTCACAGAAAATCGGGATCAACAGCCAGCAGGGACGCGGTCCCTGCTGGCTGTTGCCTCTCTACTGAGCTCATTTAAGGAAGGAAGGAAGTGCAGCATGCCTGAAACTGACACCTTATGCCGAACAGACCAAGAGGAGTGGGTCTCGGGCCTGTTGATTCTTTGTTTATTGGCGTCTCAGCTTTCGAAACCATGGATGGTGGCACCTCCTTCTGCCTGACAGTGAAGAAAAGGCTATGTTTTGTATAGGCCAATAAGCTGTATATAATTTGCTATGTGACTGCCCTTCTAGAAATGCGCATGCAACGCCATATTTATCCCGATTCTCTGCACATAAAGAGTACAGGCCCATCTTTGGCATTTGGGATTGCATGCCAAGGATAGTTTTGCTGGGTCGGTGGTTTCAGATTTTCCCGAGAATTAGGTGGGTAGCAAGTCATTTCGACAAATAGCTAGTTTTCTTAATTGTGGAGCTGAAGTTGCCCAAGTGGAAAAATGCCCGTAGATCACCCGAGCTAGCAGTCCAGACTTCTTGTTCAGAGGGCGA